TAGGATTTGGATTTTGTGGAAGGATTTGGAATTGGAAAGATTTAGAATTAGAAAGGATTTGGAATCTTTTGTGTGTTTAATTTGTAGGATTTGGAATGGAATCAAATTCCATTCTTTAGAGAGAATTTATAAAAACAATTAAATCACTTTTTATTAATTGATTATTAAAAAACGAATGTTTTTAACATATTTTAGAATATTTTCACAAACGAATCCTGTGAAATCACGTGAAATACCCCAGTTACAATAGAATTTCTAAATCCAATGTTAGTGGTATTTTGTTGAAAAATCACGTGAAACACCCCAACTACCCCCACGGGATTTCTAAATCCATTGTTTGTGGGATTTTGTTGAAATCCCGCAAACTACACCCATGGAATTTCTAAATCCAATGTTTGTGAGATTTTGTGGAAATCCCAGGATTTCAATTTAGGACTTCCCTTCAAACCAAACACAGGATTGGAACGGAATCCAATTCCAAATCCCACCAAATCCAACAAACCGGACCGGCCCTAAGGGTGTATGTCCAATCAACATAAGGCAAATCTGATTGAACAGAACAGTTCGGGGTTTTTTTGGTAACCGTGGGTGTCCGGACCAGTTGAGCGCACCTCGAATAATCCCACAGGGCCCTGAGGATATCAGTTAGGAAAATCCCAGTGTATCCTGAGGAGACTCGAACTGGCTGGCAACCTAAGAGAAGATCCCCAAAGCCTTTATGTGCCAGTTGAGCTGGCCCTCAGGATTAGAAATGTTTGTATTAAAACGAACTCAAATTGGTCACTCTTGTATTTTAATCATTTATTCACTGACATGACTTGTTTATAATGTTATTTTAAAGATCTCAGTTTTAAGGGGATATGTCTGGTACTGGAACAATTTATTAAATAAAAAAATAAAACTCCAGTGGAAGAAAATATTTAAACCATGGATACAAGCTGAAATTGATCAGCGTGGTTTTGCAGTTTGGTTCAGTTTGAAAACTCTGAAACAAGAATGGGTAGTTCTATTTGTGGGTCTGTCAGAACCAAACCAGATGGAAGTATTTACCCTTCTTTAACAAGAAAATAAATTCCTAAGGGTGCGTTTGGTACACCGGATAGGACAAAACAGAACAGGGATCAACAGAGGAACGGAGTGGAACAAAGTGTTCCACCCTACCCGATGGAACAAGTTGGAATGGACCTATATTTTACCAATATAACCTCAAGATAAAACCTAATTCTCTTCTAAAACACCAAATACGCCTCCCTCTTTACATTTTATTCATTTCTTTAAATTTTATTTATTGTATTTTATGCTCTTTAAACTTCCACTTTCCTGCCCTCAAAATATTATTTTTATTTTGGTATCATTTTAATCGTCTTGACGAAAACTTTCTAATGATATATTTTGTTATAAAAAGTATTTATTTTATTGTAATTTAATAAATTACATAAATTAATCAAAATGTTATAAAAATATATAAACTCATTAGGGGTAAATTGGTCATTTTGTTTGTTCTGTCTTACCAAACGCTGAACAATTGTCATGTCATGTCCTGGATACCAAATGCACCCTAAGTGAACTCATGTATTTAAAAACCAAACCAAACCAAACTCGGTATATCCCACACAGAGGTAGGGTATGGGAATGGTAGGATGTACCGTATACACAGACCTTACCTCTACCCCGAGGTTTCCGTGAAGACCCTCGGCTTGTGAAAAGTGAACCCGTGTAAAATCATATTGCTAAATACCTTTGAAGCTAGTGCTAGAAGATTATCAGGTACAGATGCTGCAGCTGGTTTTGCTCCAGCACAGAGAATTTTATTGGTTGATAATGACTGAAATGAAACATCTTGGAAATCTATCACCTGCTTCAAGAAAGTTCTGCTTAGTTCCTTTCTTCTTCTTTTCACTTACGCCCTCCATCCCAAAATAAACGTCCACAATGGAAAAGGCACAGAGTTTTAGAGATGTGTAATTATTACACTTTCCAATTAAGTAAATGAAAGGGAGTAATGAGTTTCTCCATCTCATAATTAAGGGTAGAATTGGGAAGTAGACACTTAGGGTGTGTTTGGTATCCTAGGATAGGACAGAACAGTTGTTCAGCGTTTGGTAAGACAAAACATGACAGGACAGGACAGGACATAACAGATAAAATGACCAATTTACCCCTAATGAGTTTTTTAAATATTTTATATATTTTGATTAATTTATGTAATTTATTAAATTATAATATAAAATAAAATATTTTTTATAACAAAATATATTACAAAGTTTTCGTCACGACAATAAAATGACACCAAAAATAAAAAGTTTATGTAGTTTCTAATTTTTATTTTATACTTTTTCTATATCATTTTTTATTATTAATATTTAATAAATTACATAAATTAATCAAAATATAGAAAACATATTAAAAAATAATATTTTGAGGACAGTATAGGGAAAGTTTAAAGAGCATAAAATACAGTAAATAAAATAAAAAGAATGAATAAAACATAAAGAGGTAGGCATATTTGATGTTCTAGAAGAGAATTAGGTTTTATTTTGAGGTTATGTTGTTAAAGTATAGGTTTGTTCCACCTTGTTCCATGGGGTGGGGGTGGAACACGCCTATTCTACTTTGTTCTTGTCTGTTTCACATAAAAGGCCTACCAAACATGGAACAATGATCCATGTTCTGTTCTGTCCTGTCAAGTGTACCAAACGCACCCTTACTTTTGAAAGTGGACACTTATTTCGGGACAAACTAAAATAAAAATGTGGACACTTATTTATGGACACAGAGATGCAACTCACCACATCTGGGGTAATATAAGCACCTGGATCCCCAACCTCATAAAGAAGTTGTTCAGCACAAGTACTGAAGTTTAACACCCCACCATTCCCATCGGCCTTTGCCACACACACTTCCCCATGACAAGTAATTTCAGCAAATGGAAGAGAAAGATCTAGCAGATTTGCATAAGGGATGTCTCTATATTTGTCTCCTGTGATCAGAAGATAAATGGAGTGTGCATCTTAACCTTCAAGAATGTTGCATTTTTATACCAGTTCTAAAAAGGTGATCCATTTGACTTATGAGGCCAAAAATAGCAATTTTCAAATTTAGATTATGTACACGTCCCTATAATTTTGAAATATTATGAAAGCTATAGTAGATACTTATGAAGAGAATAAAAAGTACTAGGTTTGACCTCAAAAGTCAAAGCGTATGCATCAAATGGAGCCAGGGGTATATGAAAGTATTGCCTCCATCCAAAATAAATGTCCACAGTGAAAAGGGCACACAGTTTAATGTCTAATTATTATATCTAAATGACAATTTTACCTTTAATTATAGAGGGAGTAATGAGTTTCTTCATCTCATAATTAAGGGTAGATTTGGAAAGTAAGCAACTACTTTTGAAAGTGGACGCTGTATAGAACAAACTAAAATAGAAATATGAACAATTATTTTAGACAGATGGACTAGTATTCTATATAGTACCTGGATGCATAAAATATCCTCCAGTGAGTTGACAGCCACATTCTAGCAGGTGTCCAGCCAAAGAGCCTTGGGCTAGCAGCAGGAATGAATCCCAGTTCCAACCTAGTTCATAAACCTTGAAAACATCAACAAAAGATTAATTATTACTTTTGATCTAAACCATACCATATTAAAGTAACAAACAATCATAATGCTTTGCTCCAGGCAATCCAAAACTTGCATCTCAATAGTCAATACTCAAAAAATTTGGAGTCCAACTCACTTTCAAATGGCCAAGGATTGGAAAATCTAACTCAAAAATTTTACATCTCAATACTCAAAATTTTGCATCTTGGTAATCGGACTTTTGGAGTCCAACCCACTGTCAAATGGCCAAGGATTGGAAAATCTAACTTGAATACTGTTTGGTTGGTGGTTGTCTGCCTTGTTTGGCGGGTTATTTAGCTAAAGGACATCCTGACAAGTCTTTTTTAAAACCATGACCTCCTAACAGGTTTCTAGGTATTCTTGTGTATGGAAGTAGCATTCTTCTGTTAAGCAGTGGCATTCTTAAGTCTGTTGGAAGGGCATGGACTTAAAAACCCCTGTTAGAAGGTCATTTAACCAAAGGACCCCTGGTTTGGCTCCCCCCACTCCAAGGGTATGTTTCCTCTCCTGGTCTTTGTTGTGTGATGTGATCATTGCTATTTCTGGGTAAATCAATCCCGTATTACACCAAAAGAAAAATGCAGATGCGATTTAAGAAACTTGCAAGTTTTTCAATCAAGAAAAAAAATGTTGATATATGTCATTTTGAACACTGTTTCTTTGATGGTATCTACAAGATAATCTTTTATTATAAGTTGAACTTTTCAGAACAAACAAAGATGTATCATGAAAAAAGATGGCAGCTTTAGACTAATATAATCCTATTCTCTTTAGTTTTGCATTACAGGGCCCAAAAAGGTTAAGTGCAAATTTCAAGATAAGCATGCCATATAGAAGAAACAAGCATTTTATACCATTGGAGCTAGAAATAAGGCAGCATCAGCAACCCGAGAAGTGATGACAACATTAGGGTTGTACTTCTCAAGACACTCCACTATTGGCGCTGCCCCTAGATACATACTTATATCCTGTATGCATCATCCAAGGCAAAAAAAAAAAGGGGGAAATCACTATAAATATCAATGCGACGATGATGGAAGGAGAAGGAGCAGTAATAGGTCCAACTGTTCATTTGCTTTAAAAAAGTTCCAAATTTTCATCAGCAGGAATTCCTGTTGCTTGAGGCCAATGGCTGAAATATTTATGTAGTTCACGATTGTGCTTATAATGAATTAGACTACATGCTAAAAACATGATGCTCAAAGTAATAGAGTTTAACTAAATGCCCGTCTTTCCCCCTCTCTTGTATTGCAATATATAAACATGGATGTTACAAAATAGTCCCTTGGACTATACAAAGAATACCAACTAACTACCTGGAACTATACAAAGAATACCTTCTAGTCTAATACACCCCCTCAGTCTAAGATGGAGGTTTCCGCAAGCTTAGACTGGATCGAAAATCGGTAAAGAGAACGCGAGGCAGCCCTTTGGTGAAGATGTCTGAAAAATTAAGGCGAGACGGGATATGAAGGACCCGTACCTGTCCGCGTTGGACCTGTTCGCGAACGAAGTGTATGTCAATCTCCACATGTTTGGTACGTTGATGTTGAACGGGGTTACCCGATAGATAGATGGCACTCACGTTGTCCGTGTAGACCAACGATGTGCGACGGGGCGGGTGYCCCAGTTCCAAGRGAAGGTTTCGCAACCAACAGATCTCACCCACAACGTTTGCGATCCCACGATATTCCGCCTCGGCACTGGAGCGAGACACAACGGTCTGTCGTTTTGAGGACCATGACAGTAAGTTATCACCAAAGAATACACAATAGCCAGAGGTAGAACGTCGGGTGTCAGGACAGCCGGCCCAATCAGCATCGGTGTAAGCAACCAAAGAAAACTGCCGAGAAGGTTGCATCAGAAGCCCGATATCTATCGTACCCTTTACGTACCGGAGGATACGTTTCAATGCAAGGAAGTGAGGCATCCGGGGGGCATGCATATACATGCAGACTTGTTGGACAGCATACGAGATATCCGGACGCGTGAAAGTAAGATACTGGAGAGCACCCGCCAGGCTACGGTAAGGCGTAGGATCATCAAGTAAGTCACCAGACTCGGCACTGAGCTTGCCGGCGGTATCAACAGGTGTCTGAACAGGGTTACAATTATCCATTTCAGCCCGATGGAGAATATCTTGAGCATACCGGGATTGTGATAAGAACAGGCCATCCGCAGTTCTGGTGACGGCTATGCCTAAAAAATAAGAGAGAGGCCCGAGGTCCTTCATCGCAAATTCCGAAGACAGATGACTCATAAAGTGGTGTTTCAGTTTCGGAGACGAGGTAACCATGATAATGTCATCAACGTACAAAAGGATATAGGCCGTGTCGATACCGCGTCGATAAATAAAGAGTGAATGATCACACGAACTGGGCCGAAAACCAAGAGGGGTCACATAGTCGGTGAAGCGTTGGTACCACGCCCGGGGTGCCTGTTTAAGACCGTACAATGATTTTTTCAAGCAACAAACATGATCCGGGAAGTTTTTGTCACGGAAACCTGGGGGTTGGTTCATAAAAACTGTCTCGTGTAAGTGGCCATGTAGAAACGCATTTTTAACATCCAATTGTGTGATGTCCCAGTTATAGGACAACGCAAGAGACAAAACCGTGCGAATGGTTGCCGGTTTAACTACCGGACTAAACGTTTCCGAACAATCCACACCAATTTGTTGTGACCGACCATCCCCAACGAGTCTAGCCTTATACCGTTCCAAAGACCCATCCGATTTCAATTTGTGTTTGAATATCCACATGGAGCGAATCACATTCATGTGTGACTGACGAGGCACGAGATCCCAAGTCTTATTATTGATAAGGGCAGAAAATTCATCTTGCATAGCATGATTCCAAGAAGGGCTAGAAAGGGCGTCGGCGATGTTTTTCGGAAGGGGTTCGATGGTAGATGAGGCATGTAGGTTAAACGGTATACGTGGTTTAGCATGCCCGGTCATGCTCCGGGTTTGCATGCGACGGGGTGGTGGTGGTGGGGGTGG